CCCCCCCCCCCCCCCCCCACACACACACACACACACACACACACATATGCACACACAAACCTTAACCCCAAACCCTAGGACCATATTGCTGTGTATCAAAGTTGAAGGCTGGTCTAAGTAAATGGGGCAGTTGATTGATAATAATGGCATGTTTGCAAAGAAAAGAATCATTATTGAATACACTCTTTTTTTTACACTGTGTGTATTGTGCCCGAACACAAGTTACTTGTATGATATGTGTTTTCATATTTTAACTTGAAGTTAGGGGCACTGAGGGCACTTGTCTTGTAGAAGGTCCACCTTCGTACAGTACCAAAGCAACATTCAAAAGGTAAGTGCACAATTTACACTTGTTTAAAACATGGCAGTATTATGAGTGAAATATGAACTTACTATTATCCTACTGTAAATACATGTACATTCTCATCCCTTGTTCTGTGCACCTTATATTGAGAGACATGTGCTTTGTCTTTGGTATTGCATGGGCATCTGCAAAAAAAAAAAAAAAATCCAGATGAAAAGATGCTTGGTTGTTTTCCACCTTCTCATCCATGTATATTAATTTCGAATGGTAATTTAGTTATTGCTTGGGATAATAGAAAATGTGACCTTTATTTAATATTTATGTATTTACAGATGTGAAGGAAAGGCATGTAAAGTAATGGCTTTTAGCCCTGACGGTTCTCTTTTTGCATGGTGCAATGGAGAAAGGTAAGTGTAGGTAGTCAGAAATGCTGCTTCTGATGATTGGAAACTGCCACGTCGGAGTGACTCCGTTTTTCCTTTTTTGATGGCTTTTCAGCAGACTCTTTTTTCTGATTCTTGTATTGGTCGATTGTTGATTGAGTTGATTTTTTCCTGTCACCTGGCATTTTGATCAAAGTCTACACAGACAGACACAAAACTGACATTAGCGAGGAGCTACGAGCAGGTTACTCACGTTGTGCCGCCATCTTGACTCTGCCGGAAACTCACCAAAGATTGTAAATCAGTGGTATGCTTACATAATTATAACAAGCCTCAGGTCCATTGTGTTTACAAGTTCAGTATTTTACAGTTTTATTTCTACTTGTAAAATCTGACAGGTGTTCATAATAAGTTGGGTTAATGCCAAAACCTGTCTTTTATTTTGTTTTATTTACTCGAACATATTGTTTGTGATTGACTTGATCTAAAAATAATAGATCTTGAAAAATTCAAAGTGAAATATTGAAATTTGTGAAGTGAATACATACTAGTACATGGGATTGAATACATACACTGCATTGTGTTAACATTTCTTTTCTATTTTAGTGTAGAAATAGTGACAACTACAGACTTCAAGCAAGTTCAGAAGTTAGATAAACCTAAAACCATGGGACTGGAGTTTTCCCCCTCTGGCAGTCTGCTGGCTACTTGGGAGCCATACGCAGGTAAAATAAACCAATGAAGAGTGAATGAGTCCAGTGAGTGAGTGAGTGAATGAGTGAGTGAATGAGTCCAGTGAGTGAGTGAGTGAATGAGTCCAGTGAGTGAGTGAGTGAATGAGTGAGTGAATGAGTCCAGTGAGTGAGTGAGTGAGTGAATGAATGAGTCCAGTGAGTGAATGAGTCCAGTGAGTGAGTGAGTGAGTTAGGCCTCATTCAGAATAGGGAACTAACTAGTCCAAGGGTCAAATATGACAGACCCACTTGACTACTTCCAAATTGAATATCTATTCAGTGTGACTGTGTCTATTAGCGGATTACACAGCAAGCTTTGTAGTGGGTTGCCATATTTGACCCTCGGACTAGTTTTCTGAATGGGGCCTTAGTGAGTGAGTTAGTGAGAAAGTGAACAAGTTAATGAGTGATAAGTGAGTGAGTGAGTGAATGAGTGAAATGAATAAATAAACAATGATAGGTTGGTTTGTAGAATTAATGGTGATGATGATAATGATGAAGATACTGATAAAATACAAAATTACGACCCCAGATGAATACAAAAAGTAAAAATGACCAGTTAATCATTATGGTAATGTAATTATGATGCTATTGAGGAAATAATTGCTTTCAGTGAACAAGAATGACCCTGGAATGAGCTCCAACTTGAATATTTGGGATGTGAAATCTGGAAACCTGTTGAGGTCTTTAAATCAGAAGAAACATGGGGGATGGTAAGATAACACTGTATAACATGCACTAGTGGGCTGGATTTGGTCTTAAAGTGCAATTTAAGTTCACAAGTGATCTTACACGATCTTAAACATTACAGCAGTAGTCTTAAAATGGACTGAATCTGCTTTTAAGATCAAAAATGATCTAACATCTACTTAAGTGGTCAAGCAGTTTCCTCCCCTCACAATGGGGGATACCTCCCCTCACAATAGAGGACACCTCTGGTCACAATAGGAGAATGTGTAAGGGGAGACAACTTAATTGGCTGTTAGACCAGAAATAGTCTTACTCGTGGTTTAAGATCATGTAAGACTATTTGTGAACTTAAATTGCACTTTAAGACAAAATCAAGCCCACTAGTGATGGGAAATAAGTTTTTCAGTGAGTCTTTGATGGAGATGGCAAAAAGAGTAAATTGTTTATAAAGAAAACTATCAGTGAAAAGACTTCTAACTCTCATTGAAAGGTCTTGTTCATATGCTTGAGACTGGGCTACTATACTGTGGTTAATGGTTTTCTAAAGTATCTCAGTTGTGACAGGGAATATTTTCATTTTTTATATCTGTGTTTTCTTAGATACAATAACATACACTCCACACAGTTAATTTGATAAGAATGTTGTTCAAATTATTTTTGTCTGCTGAGTCAAACAAAAAAAATTGCTGGGTGAACTAACAAAAAGTAGGTTTTAGTTACTTCACTTTAGTGCACTTCATCAGATTTGTTCTGGGTTGGAGTTGGAACTCTGTGTTTAATTGGGTCAATTTTTCAATTTATTTCATTTTTTTTTTGCTGTTTTGCTGCAACTGTCTGAAGAAGCTAATAAAAAGTTTGCTTATGTGTAAGATTAAATTATTCATATTGAGTTAATTGTATTTATTAAGGGTATCGGAATAATTTAGATATTGGATTGATTTGAACCATGTTATTTCTTATTCAGGCAGCCACAGTGGTCTGATGATGAAAAAATCTGCACAAGAAATGTCACAAATGAAATACAGTGCTTTGAAAACAATAATTTTGGTAAGTGAAGGACATTATTGTGAACTGTTTATTATAAGATTGAGACTTAAGCATTTAAGGCTAAACATGACACCTGAAATTGGGATTTTTGCAACCTTACTGACAAACTCCAAATGGAATTTTTTTTCAAATTATGACTATGAAGAAAATTGTATAATTTCAAT